CCCCCCCCAGAACTCTGTGGAAGAAGTGTTGTCTGTCTCCTTCCCTCCTTCCCTCCCTCTCTCTCTCTCTCTCACTTTGTCGTTTTTCCTCCTGTCCCCCCCAGAACTCTGTGGAAGAAGTGTTGTTTCTCTGGTGACGGTGAGTACATAGTGGCCGGCTCAGCCCGCCAGCACTCGCTCTACATCTGGGAGAAGGCCGTGGGGAACCTGGTCAAGATCCTGCACGGAACCAAGGGGGAGCTGTTGCTGGATGTCGTGGTGGGTCATCATCATTATCATTGTTGTCATTGTCATCATCATCATCATTGTCATCATCACTGTTGTCATCATCATCATTGTTGCCTTCTTTTCTATCAAACACCCATTGTCTTGATCTCCCCTCTTTCTTTTTTGTGTTTGTTACTCTCTTGTAACACCTCTAATCTTCGGCACTTATATGACCTTGTTTTGACATGTGCCGTAAAACTTTTACTGAAACTAAACTATTCGTTGTTGCCTTCGTTGTCATCACCATTATCGTCATCATCATCATCATTTTTACCATCATCAATATCAATATTATCACCATCATCATCGTCATTATCATCATAATCATCATCCTTTCAGGCTTGCCAACTGTTCCAAATTTACATTGGTTTACTGAAAAATTATTCAATACTTGTTTTCTCGTGCTCCATTTTTTTCCTGCTACAAAGATAATGATGATGTTGATAATGACGATGATGATTTCCTTTTTCTTGCATGTCCTTTCTAGTGGCATCCTGTCCGTCCAATCATCGCATCCATATCCAGCGGCCTCGTCTCTATCTGGGCACAGAACCAAGTGGTGAGTTGTAGGGGAAAGTGGCCAATCAACTGGGATGGGTGCCTGTTCTGAACTTTTTTCCGTTATTACTCTAAGAATAGGAATTAGCACTGAACTTTTTTAGTTTGTTATTCTGAGAATAAAAATAGACTCTGAACTTTTTTCCGTTGTTCTGTGTTCAGGAAAACTGGAGCGCCTTCGCCCCCGACTTCAAAGAGCTGGATGAGAACGTGGAGTACGAGGAGAGAGAGTCGGAGTTTGACCTGGAGGACGAGGACAAAGAGAAGGAAGAGAGCAAAGGTAAGAGAGTAAACTTCACAGCGATGTTTGCGGAATGCAAACAGTGGGTGGTTGGCGGGTGCTCTGGTGTGGTTTGCTTCTTCTTTCCTATCAAACATCTATTCTATCGTCTTTATCTCCCCTCCTTTTTTGTGTTTGTTACTCTCTTGTTGCACCTCTAATCTTCGGCACTTATATGACCTTATTGTGTTGCAAGTGCCGTAAAACTTTTACTAAAAGTAAAACTTACTTCTTCCATGTACTATATGATCATATTTGTGTGGATGTGCTTCTCTTTACTCAAACTCAAAAGCGTTTTGTTTTCTCTCCCTCCTCAGCACCGGTGGAGGAAGACGTGGAAGTCGACGTCTCGACGATTGAGCCAATCCAAGCCTTTGTCAGCAGGTGAGAGGGAGGGCTGGGGCCATTTGCAAAGATGCCGAATTTCTGGATAAATCCGGAATTGAAATTTCTGGATACGTTTGGAAATTGAAATTTCTGTAACTGTACGCACTCTTCTTGCTGATAGATATATTTATGTATTTTAAAATCTCTTTGTGCATGTCATATTGAGCTTTGAGTTTAAATAATCTAGAAGCTAAATATAATATATCAAGCAGTATGGTCTTTAAATTTTGAGTCCTACTGCGTGCTTTTTCCCCGTAGTCTGAAAAATTCCTGATTTTTTTCCGTATTTATCGTCTTTATCTCCCCTCCTTCTTTTTTGTATGTTACTCTCTTGTAACACCGTGAAACTTTTTCTAAACTAAAAACTAAACTCCAACTAAAAGAGCTATAACTTGTATTCTTTCGCACATTTGAATTCTTTTTTTTAATAAAAAAAAATTTCTCAGTGACGAAGACGAAGAGGACGCGAACGCTCTCCTGTTTCTGCCTGTGTCTCCGGAGGTGGAGGAGCCAGAGGACGGGTGGCAGGGAGAGAATGTGAGTAGTTTTGGTTTTGGTTTTTTAGTTGGTTGGTTTTGGTTTTTTGTTTGTGATGTGGTCGTTTTTGTCTTGTATATGTACACACACACACACTTACGCGCGTGCGTACACATACCAACACTGGTGCACACACACAGTTGGTGGTTGGCGGGTGCTCTGGTGTTGTTTTGTTTTGTTATGTGGTCGGTTTTGTGTCGTATATATACACACACAAACACACACACACACACACATACGCACACACACACACATGACACACACACATGTACATACACTCGCAAAAACTCCAGTCACAGATAGATAAACACACACACACGTTGATATAATAGTATGCAGCAACATATGAAATTTTCCTCTCCTATCTCTTGCATGGGTGTTTTGACGGTGTCTACTGCCCTGACTGCTTGTGTGTTTCGTTTTCTCTTGTTCATCCAGGTTACTTGCCACTAGTTGTAAATTATTTTCTCGTTGTGAAGTAAACTACATGCATGGGTGGTTGGCGGGTGCTCTGGTGTGGTTTGCTCCTTCTTTCCTGTAAAGAAGACCTATCGTCTTTATCTCCCCTTCTTCTTTATTGTGTTTGTTGCTCTCTTGTAACACCTCTAATCTTCGACACTTATATGACCTTATTGTGTTGCAAGCGCCGTAAAACCTCAACAAAAACTAAACTATCTCCCCTCCTTTTTTGTGTTGGTTACTCTCTTGTAACACCTCTAATCTTCTGGTGCTCTTATGACCTTATTGTGTTGCAAGTGCCGTAAAACTCTTACTAAAAGTAAACTGACTGCATGCAGTCTGTTGGTTGCTCCATTGGTTTCACTTAGCACAGACCACAGTTTTGAGTCACATTCGATATGTTCTTAGCAAACTCAAGCATTGGCCTGAAGGTATGTTTCCGGAGGACTTCACGGCTGAAATTGGTTGAGGGTTTTGGTAACTTTTAAAAGAGGAAAAATTGGATGGAGAGATTGCATTCTAAATGTATCATCCTTAAGTTATGAATGTGTGCTCATTTGTTTATTTATTTATTTACTTATTCATTTATTTATTTATGTATTTTTAAAATTTATCCATTTGTTTATTTATTTATTTACTTATTCATTTATTTATTTATGTATTTTTTAAATTTATCCATTTGTTTATTTATTTATTTACTTATTCATTTATTTATTTTGCTTATTATCTTAAGACTGATCCTCCTCCTTGCACACTCTGTGTGTGCTTTCCGTGGAATTTAAAAGAGCCAAAAAACCCAGCAGACTGTTTTAGTGTTTTTGTGAACACTTTTCAGGGGGTGGGAGTGAGGGGGGGGGGGGGGGGGCAGGAGGATTTCTGACCTGCATGTGAACGCCTTTAAGACAGGCTCATTTCTCCTCAGCACTCTGTGGTCATCCTGGACAATTATTTTGACTGTATACTTGTGTACTCTGTTTTTGTAGGAATGTTTTTGTTTCGTCGATTGACTGAATGTAAAAACTGCATGTCCTGTTGTACTTTTTATGGACCTTTAGTTTGTGCTCATATGCTATTCTTTTTTTTTTTCTTTCTTTTTTCTTTTTTTTTTGGGGGGGGTGGGGTCGTGCTTTTTTCTGTTTGAACTCTTATGTTTTGTCTGCATTTAAAAGAGAATTTTCCTCGTTTTATTTTGAGTATTTCCTCTCTCATGTTGTGATTTTCTAGCAGCAGAAACGTCCTCCTCCTCCTCCCTCTTCGGCCGTGTCGAGGATATCGGTAAATTGTTGTCCGTGTCCCGTTCTCACACCCTTTTTTTTTTTGGTTGTTTGTTTGTTTTGGATCAGCAAATCCTCATCAAATAAATTATGTGCACCGTGCAGAATTGAGAGGGGCTGATTTTCCGGATAAATCCGGAACTCTGGATTAATCCAGAAATCCGGATTGATGAAGTTGTTCACTGTTTGTAATTAACTCCTGTGTATAGATTTACTATTTATATTGAAATCTCTATTTTAGCTAGTCAAATTGCTCTTTTTATTGCATAAAATAAAAATAGTTTTGACACAAGATGTATTAGACAATATGATCCTTAAATTTGGAGTAAATTGGAGTCCCCGCATGCACGTGTGCAATGGGTTCGAAAAGTTCCGGATTGTATTTTTTTAATTTTTAAAAATTTATTTTATTTTGTTTTAAAACTAGGTTGGTTTGTTTGTTTTTTTGTTGTTGTTTTTTTGGGGGGTTGCCAGTTGGCACCTTTGATAATTTTATGGATCCGTGCATACTTATCATAATTCATCGTTTCGTCGATCCATCTTGTGCGTAACTTTACTGTATCTAATGCCCGGGAGTTATTTGGTCCTTTCTCAGTTGTTCTGCACAGTGCATTATAATGACATTGGATGAGCTGATCCATGGATGATAAATCTGTACCGTGCATAACCTCCATGGATAAGGTGCACTAGGAACTCTAAGTCTTTGTGGTGCATAATTTCTTTGAATGATTAAGTAAAATTTGTACCATATTATTTACTGAGAATTATACAAAGAATGTTTGTCTGTCCTTTTGGTTAATTTGTTGGCCAAGTTGGTGGTGTGTCCGTTGGTTGTTTTTTTTAGCACACACATGACCAAAATCATGTGGATAGTGCTGTAAAACATCTACTCTTAGTCAATAAATCCTTGAATGAGATCATTCGTAGTCGTCACGTATGGACTGTTATACAGAGGATTGTTGATTTATTTGAGCTCATTCATATTAATCATGAGTCTATATTCAGCTTTCTCCTGCTACTGCTAGAAAGAAGCGCTCAAGCAGCATTTTGACACTATTTTTTTATTGAAGCTGAAATATGAATATACTTTTCTTTTGTTTTAGTTGAGGTGTTATTGCGAGCGCCGTTAAACCTCGACTGAAGCTAAGGAAAATTATATTTTGGCCTAACCTAAACTAGACTAAGTTATGGTTTTGCAGCTTTAGAGATAGATTCTACTCATGTTTTAAGAAATAACCATGGCTACGAAGTTCTCAAATTTGGTTTAAATTTTAACCAAACCTTTGCTTAGTATTGCGCAGTGCTTGTCAGCCAATTGGGCGATTTAGTAATTTGGTAAGTTTGGTGGGCGATTTGGTAAGTTTGGTGGGCGATTTGGTACATTTTGGTGTGCGATTTGGTAATTTTGGCAGGCGGTGGGGATCCACCCAGGTAGTGATAGATAGTGATTTATTTAACACCGCACTTGAAAATACAATTAATGTCATGAGTTTTTGAGGCTGGGTTTTTTTTTTTTTTGGGGGGGGGGGGGGGGTGTGTCATTCAAAAAATTATTTGTTTTTTTCTATTTACACAACAAGCACTTTTCACGAGAATCCGTGTAGCTTACAATGCATTTCAGCTTCTTTCTTCATAAGCACAGCGAATTTTGCTTCCATGTCACTTTTTTCTTTAAACTATTATTTTTTTGGTGGAAAAAATCAGGAGTCTCTTCCCAGACTTCTTTATTGTGTGGCATTGTGTGTTCTGGAATGAGGTCTTGTAGAACTCATGACAGGTTTTGGGGGCATTTTTGTCTGAAGGTTTGAGTGGTCGAGTTACGCTAAATACGCTTTTGTTTGAATTTCAGCAAACTTTTGTCTGTTTTGCTACTTTCTAGTATATCTCTATAAAGGGCGAATGAACTTATGATTATTATCATTTTTATTTTTTTTGCCTTTCCCATTTCTATCAACTGGTGCTTCTGTGTTTTGTAGAAACAACAACAGCAAAACTGTGCAGCTTTTTGGATTTGAAAATTAAGTGTTAGAATTATTGTAAACCCATAAGAGAAATGTTATTATATGCAATATATAGATAGATAGATATATA